ATCAGTTTTTTAGTTATTTATTTTACTATTTTTTGGTTTTTTATCATTATTATTATGTTTATAATATTTAATGTAATTTCATATTTTGGTTATTTTATTTAAATAGCAATTAGAATAAGACCCAAAGGTGATCATTTAATTATATTGGAAATTTTGTTTTTATTTTTATTTATGGTATAAATCGAATTATAAAAATTATTGTTTTCTAAAAGGATACAATTTTCTATAACAATTATATTATATTTATAATATTATAATTGTACGTATACATAAAAATATTTAAAACAAAAAAAAAATTTAACAAGATTAACAAAATTATTACATTAAATTTTGTTAATCTAAAATTTTCAAATATTGGGAAAATCTTGTATCCTTTTTTTACCAATTTTATTTTAGAGCCTAATAAGCTGAATGAAAATATTAAAAAAGTTTAAACTAGTAAATATCAATCTGGTACATACGGAAATTGATTCCGGATAGTATCTGAACTATGTAAAATTTCAATTGTTATAAAATTTGCTATAAATAAAAATTGGTCAAGTCTCTCTTTAAATTGCACGTTTCTGTGAAATATATAATTAAATCAAAAGAGCTAAGCTGTAAAAAGTGATAAAAACCCATTTAAACACTATTTTGTAAAAAAGTTTTTGAACCTATGGTTTGAAAACAATAATTTGTAATTTTTTAATATTAAATTTTAAAAATAATAACAACTATAATATTTGTAGCTCATAATATGAAAATTAATATCAGTTTCAATCTCATTAAAATACTGATTATATTTTGTATTGTAGTCGAGTATTTATATAATATAGAAAGATTGTGGAAAAATGGTTAATATAAATATAATTTTATTACGCACAAAAAGTTATTTAAATTTGGCTAAAGGTACTTGTAAATCACAAATACTAAATACCAATTACGTTTACCTAGTTAATTTTTAAAAATAATTAAATTAACAATAATCTTATGAATAAATAAATTGAAGAACAAAACTGAAAGTAAGAAATAACATTTTCCTTAGAATACCATGGTTTTTTAATTAAATATTTTAAAACTTCATGTGGAATGTTATTCTATCACTTCTAATTCAGCTAGAAAACGCATTCAAAGCTTTATATAAGATTTTAAGTACCTATAAAGTTTTCGAATTCTAAATTATTTTCATTTCTAGTTAAAATTTATTTTACAGTTTTGTATTTTTGATTACCAAAACTTTTGAAAAAACAAAGCTAAAACTTTTCTTTTATACTTTATTCTCATAGTAAACTTAATATATATACATATATAAAAAATTGTAGAAAAGAAAAATAACATTTTTTTTCATTACTGTCTTTCATATCAGCCAGAGTTATATAAAAATATCCTTATTTACAATTCCTTTTTAAATACATCCTTTAACTATATAAACTTAATCCTAATGTCCTTTCATCTGCTCTTAAATTTTATGACATGATATGAAGAAAAAGAAAATAACAAAAAATGAAAAAATCATATCATGTCATATTTTTATTTACAACTTTTACATTACTGTATTATATGTATATAATATGTATAAATATTATACTCATATTTTATCTATTATGTATGTATATATTTGTATATATTGTACGTGTTTACAGAATAAGTCATTTAAATTAGTATTCATAAATTTCAAAATTGTGACTTTGTCCATAAAACATTTCACAAATAAAATGTTAGCATAAATACATATATATATATATATATATATATATATATATATATATATATATATATATATATATATATATATATATATATGTACATACATATGTATATACTAGTGTCCATATATGTACAATATTTTTCTGATATTTAATGTATGAAAAATGAACATTCTGAATAACAATAACATCACCATATTTTATAATAATAAAAAGGACCATAGAGAAAATTTTCTATATGGAACCATAAATCCTATGATATAGGGTAACCTATAATAATAAAAAAAAAATAAATAAAATCTTAAATATTACAATAGCATATATGAGTTGTCTCCTATTTATTTATGGGCCCTATAGAAACCCATATAAAAGAATAATAAAAATAACAAAAAAAAACTAAAATATTATTATTCCTTCATGTCATACATATAAAATAACTACTTATCTACACCCTATACTTGCATGTAAAAAGAAATAGATTGCTTGTACTTCTCTCTTCCTCTCTCTGTTTCTCTCTCTCAATATGACAGTCAGTTGTCATTTCTTTTACTGTTCCTGTTGATATATACACAAAAAATTTTTTATTTATTTCAGATTTTCTTCAGTATTGAAATGATCTCGCAATGCACAAAATGTTTACTTAAAAAAATTCTTGAAAAAGAAACAGAAAAAACTAGAATGAAAAAAAAAGAAAGAAAGAGAAGAACAATATTATTATTTCTTTTCTCTTCTTTCTCTTTCTTTCTTCTATACATCTTTAATAAAATGAAAAATCAAATGACATTTTCCTTGACATTTTCTGCATTTTCATTTCCTGTGCTTGACATTAATGTCATAAATTTCTTTTTTGATTTTCCTTTATTTTTTTTTTATTTTTATTATTATTATTATTATTATTATTTATTCTTCTTATTTTTATTTGCTTGTGAAAGGATATTTTATGTAATAATATAATAATATTTTCGCCATTTTCATACTTCCGGAATTTTAAAATTTTTACAAAATTTTATATATAGTATTTTTTATGCATATAAACATGTGTGTGTGAAAGTATATAAAAATTTTGTATTAATAAACATGAATTTATTATTTTTGCATGTATATTTGTTTGTATATAGGCATATGGATTTAAATTTTATATAAATAAAATAAAAGAAATAAATTTTATATGTATATAGGACAATAAATTGTTAATGTTCATGTGAATGTGAAAAGATGTACAGAAAACATATACATACGTATATATAAAAAAGGACTTTAATTTTAGGCAACAAGAATGATTCAAATTAGATTTCTTTTTTTTTATATTTGCTAGAATTTTAAATTTTTTGAGTTATAAAGTTTTGAATTATTCAGTTCTTATTAAAAATAAATCAAGAGCAAATTAATATGGTTTGTAACCAAGCACATTTCGCGTTAATAATTTTATAAATTGAAGATATTGATCTTCGTTATTATTAACAAAACTCACATCATTCTCTTACCGTAATATTTGATCATGTAGCATACTTTTAGCAAAAATTATAAAAGCATTAGCAAAAAAATGAATCTAAGAATTTGAATAATTATTTTATAATATTTAGAATGAGATAATTTGAGTAAAAAATTTAAGATTAAAATGAAAAAAAAATTCTATTTTTAAGAAGTTAATTGAGAAAGTATGGTGAACTTAAACATTAAGGTCTAACAATTAATAAAAGTTTTAAAATTGACAGAACCTATTTAGTTTAATAAAAACTGAACTAAATATGTTTGTGTTGTTTACATTTACATAAAAGTCCTAAAAGAATTAAAAAAAATTAAACAAACATAATTGAAATTTTTTTTCGATTACAAAAATTTTCGAAATAATAAAAAATTTTATATTCTAAGAAGAATAACAAAAGAAAAATTTACAATTTACTTCTACATGTACATAAACATAACGTATATTACAAATATAAATCTACAAATGTTTTACAATATTGCTTTAATTTAAATATTAAGGATATACTGAATACACATAGTATATTAATGTCATGAAATGTATTGAAAACTTTAGCCTATTCTTTAAATGTTCCTAATTTCGTTTTTTTTTGTATTTCTTAGTCCATTTGATTTTACATATTATAAAAAGCAATATGACGTAACTATGAACTTAAAATTATGCAAACATTTGATTTGATATTCTGACATAGTATATATACATAAAAATCCTATATATTCTGACATATGTGTATACATTGTATATTTTATACATATATGCCAAACATATTCACGTAATAATGTTTAAAACTTATAAATTATTCAATCAATAATATTCAATCAAACACAATATATTTTACATAAAAATATTTATGTTTTAGGTCTTATTGAAGTGTTTGAACCTAAAAGTATGCAATACCAATGAACATTCTAGTCTATTTATAAGATGTATTATATGAAAAGTATCTACCGAAAGATGGAACCATATCAGGAAGCATATGAAATCTTTCTCGTGTATCTGAATATTATACCAAAATTTCTTACGTTTAAACTTAAAATTGCTTTAATTTTTAATGAAATTTTATTTTTTTTATAATTTAATTTTTTTAATTTTACAATCACTTTAGTAATTAAATAATTTATTTTTGGTCAATGTGCATAATACGTACAATATAAGATTTAAAGCAATTTCTAAATTCATTCTGAAAAAAAAATCATTCTTAAAATCTTCCATTTTTTGATGATTAATCTTTTTAAGGAATTTCTTAAATAAAAACGAAGTGAAATCAAGTAATCAATTTATCATAATAAAAAAGAAGGTCCTTTTAATCCTTTTATATTTTATTCTATTATTTATAAATTTTCTTACTTACAATTTGTTTTATTCTTACATTTTTTTTTTTACCCTCATAAATATAATCTACCATCATAATAACTATAATCAATTTTCATAACACCAGAGTGTTAGATGGCATCCATCAGTGTTATTTTTGGGGTCCGGCTTTTGTTTTGTGCTTTTGTTTTTTTAAATTTATAAGTGTGTTGTTATAAGTGATATGATTGATGACCTAATGTCAAGTCCTTGAACATTCATTTTATGAATGTGTTCAACCCTCAGAATGCCATGATATTTTATTTATACGTGTAAGTAATGTGTTTTTTTTTCTTATCGTTTTTTTTTACAATTTTTATTGTTGTAATCATGATTTTATCCTTATAATTTTTTTTCTCTTCTAACCTTCTTATTATATTTTCATTCCTATTTCATATAGGTTAAAATTTTTCATTTTTTGAATATGTGTATGTACACATATAGAAATCATTTTTCTTAGTCGAAATTGCTCAAGAAAATCATCATTATTTTCAAATGTATTTTTCGATCTTAAAAGAAATTTTTATAAAAATTTTTTGTTTTTTTTTTTCATATGTAATAATATTTTTTTGCCCATTGAACATGAATTAATCTTTAATATACCAGGAGACTACTCTTCCTGTTGGTTGAAATAACTAACTCACATGATTGCTAAGCTCTTTGGAATACGGTGTTCAAGTATTTCTTTTAAATCAATTCGTACTTCGTAGCGTTATACCTGTGGCGACTAAGTTTTTCTGAAACAAACTTTATTCAGGAAATCGATATTCACATGAAACGTGTGTAAAGAACAAAATGGTTTTTGCCTGCAAAAAGAACAAAATTTCACAAATTTTCTCAATTTAATTTTATCAAAAAAGTTTTCTCACCCCTGAACAACTTGTTTTCTCTCATTGAGCATTTGAATATGAGCATTTCGTAATTCACCTTTTTTTCACAAAATAGTTGCTCAAACCTCTCGTTCTGCATCCGACTCTTTCGAAAATAACCCTGTTCATGAATATTAATAAATATTAATTGTTTTTCATTTTCACTTCTCATTTATTTTAACATGCTTTCTAGTCTAATTACTTTAACAGCAACTTTCAAATGACTTTAATATTTCTCTATTATTACAAATGTAAGAGACCAAACCAAAGTAATCGTTATTATAATTTTAAATTTTACTTATATGACTAAATTTAAAATTAAAATCAAATGTTAATGCAAACACAAATAAAATGACAGATAACAAAATACACATAACAACAAAATTAAGTTGTTTAGCGAGCATTTCAGTATTGTCATTCTCTATAAAAATATTTGACAAAAATTTAAAAATGCTTTCACAGCATGTTTATGCTACTAAATATTTATGATCACAGCACATTGAATAAATTTTGCCACCCACTCACCTTATTTGTACATAATGATCTGTTTGGTTTTGTCATTATTATTTATATTATGTGCCTATATGAGGTTTAAAATGCTAACAATTATTTGAATACAAAATGTTTTAACAAAATACACGTAAGGTACACTATATCCATACATATGTACGTTAGGTGCATACATAAATAGTTTACATAATATTATTATCAAACATGATCAATATATGTATGAATGAATTTGATAGTTGTATGCGGGTGCGTGTATGAAAATTTTGTAGGTAAAGAACCAAAACACCAAATACCAAATCTAATTTTTATTGTTTTAGGAAATTTAAGATTTGTTACTTATATTATTTATTTATAAACGTTTTAACATTAAATGTGCATACAAAATAGCAATTTTGTGACAGGCTGTTATTGATGCCCAAATTATATTATGTACATATTTGAATTTAGTAGGCGTGTAAGGTCATTACGACATTTATTTTCATATTTAACTGTAAAATTATCGCAATACCCAAACGAGTATCAACAAGTTCATTGTGAATTTCAACGAAATCGTTTCGAATTTGTCTCGAGTCTTAACAAGCTTGTTTCGAGTCTCACGAGTCTGTTTTGCGGAGCAGAGAGGACAAATGAGATGCAATATCATACAATACTAAAATATTTTGGTTAAATTACTAGTGAAATTTTATTTTATAGTAATGTGGAACGAGCGCTCTCTAAGGAGGAGGAAGTAGTGCTTAAACATAAGATTTTACGTAAGAAGAACGCCAAGCATCATTGAGACATAAAATTAAGAATTCAGTGATTATTTAGAAAACTGTCACTTTCGTACAATAAAATCTATGTGATACACAATTATTAGAGAGCCCTAAAATTGTTAGGCAATATTTCCTTTTTTTTAAATAATTTTTCAGTTATTTCGATTTAATTTCAAACCACTGAAAAACAAAACACAAAATAGCTAATACAAAATCTATGTAGATCTATTTAATGTTATTTAAGCATTTTAAAGCGATTTAATAGTCTGAACGCGCTCCAAAAGAATTTTTATTGTATAGATATTAGATTATGTATGTAATCAGTATTATAACCATTTGAACGTATGCATGTTACTATATTATACTTATGCGCATTTACACTAGCAATATGTCAATACATGTACAAATAAATATTTTATTATGTTTTGATATTATTGCTTTGTTTTTTTCATTTGAATTTATTGAAAAGAATTTTATGAATCAAATGGTGATTTGTGGTGACAGGTTTATGATCAAAAATGTCGAAATGTGATTATTGCTCAATGAACTATCGGAATTGTCAACTTTAGTTTTATATATTTGTGTATTATGTGAATTAGTATACCGTTCATGGATGTATGGTTTAGTTACAGTTGTACACGTTCATGTACATATTATGTATTTGGACATAGTTACATTTATATACAGTTTTATATTACATATAACACAGTATCCATGCATATCTCCACATTTATGTACATATTTGTTTTCCGACCGTGTTGCTATACAATAAGAGAAGTACTGCCATTGCATCAAATTTCTTATGTGAAGCTTAAAACGGAAATATATTTGGCGGGGAAACATAAACAACCTATTTTTCGGAGATCTCGTTCTGTACTTCTGTTGGTTTTTCTGAAAACTCCTGTATCTCAAACTTCTCTGAGTCAAGACTTCTTCAAGTTTCTCCAAGATTTTCTTGAATTTTTATATGTGTAGACTCCTTTTGACAATATTAGCGGTCATAATTTGTTCACATTAATTTTTTTTTCGAATTTTAATACTTTGAGTTTTTTATTCCCTGTATGTCTACTCTTGGATGCGCTAGTTTGTTATCCATTTAAAGTAGCCTATAAAAACACAAAAAAAATCGAAAACAATGTGGGTATTTAGAAAAAAAATTACGAGTTACAATGAAGTAAAAATAAAGAAAATAAAAATATAAAACAATAAAAATAAATTTTTATTTTTTATAGTGGTATATTTAATGGGCATTTTATTTTGGATCAGGGTCATTTAAAATTTATATTTTGTTTCATTTATTTTGGTTTTCATATAATTTCACTTAAATGTCTATATATAGAGAGTAGCATTAAACTTGTACATAGAAAGCGTTATTATAGTAACCTTTTTCATTATGTTTATTATTGCTTTCTCTCTCTATACATATAGGAAATTTCATGAAAATTAGTTGAATTGAGGAGGGTAGAGTACACATTGTTGTAATATGGATTTGTAAGAAGAAGAATAACACAAAAAAAAAAAAAAACAAAAATTTTCTAACCACTATTACCGGGGATGTTTTCTCAATATTTTTAAGCGATAAATATTTTTTAATGTCTTTTTTATTTTTTGTTTTTGTTTTTTATTTCAATTTTTCCCGTTAATTTATGTTTCCAAATGGTAGTTTATTACAATATTTTCTTGTACAATTTATTGTTCTTTATTGCCATTTTCAGCTTTTAAGTTAATTGTTAAATTTATGAGGTTTTTTAGCATTTACATTCACAAACATACATATTAATAATTATATATACCCAAGTTTAAGTTACTTAATACGTACATAATACGTTCATCGATTGAATAAACTGGCGTACCTAAATAAATTTTTCTATTATTGTAAAATATTCTTACAAACATACAAACCTATCTACATACTGACTACATAAAAAATTGCTTAAGAGTGTAAATTTATAATTCAATAAAATTTATTACAAGTTAATTAGAAATTTAATTTTTATAATACTTTACTAAAACATATTTATTATTTGTAATAAATTATGAAGGAAACAATATTGCAGTTATAATTAAAATAAAAATGATGAAATTTTCCTCAAATATTTTAAGTTATTAAATACATACATATATATATTCTCCCTGCGAGCAGGAACCTGTGGATGGTCTACTGCCCGATATCGGGTATAATGGGTAAGGTTACGCAGATTATTTAGTCGTTGTTAGGCAGTTATTATACCATTAAAGCAGTTATTATGCCATTTACTATAGACGACGGAAATTTAGTTTCCATCCGTTTTCCTTGAACAATTATTTAGCCCTTCCTACTTATTTGCTATGCTGCAATTTGTTGGTGGCCTATGTACAGTGCTAGGGAATTACAAAAGATTCTATAGTTCGACGTGAGAAGGATCTAAGGACGTCGGTTCTCTACGGGAAAAAAATTTCAATGTAGTCGCAAAATTAAAGAGGAATAGAAACAAATTGCAAAAATTATTAGTTTAAAAAATACCTTTTAATAGTTATTAGTTTTATTAGTGATCCAGCTATATGAATTAAGTTAATTCTAATAAACAATAAATTCAATTAAATAAAATTGATCAAAGCAAAACTTGCTTTGCATATTTTTATTAAATTTTTTCAATTACATAATTTTAAATTTTATTATGCATATAAAGTACACAATTATTTTTTGATTATAAAATTCACTAAAACATTTTTATATAATCAAAACAATATACTCGTATACATAGAGAGCAATAAAAACAAATGGTTTTTTAAAATCTTTTTATTAATTAATTTCTTTTAATTAAAATTACAAACAAGCTATCAATGAAACAATAAAAAGATAATAAAACGATCGCATTAAAATTTAAAAAACAATTTGAAAATCAATGGTTTATTAAAAAGTAATAAAATCATATCAGTGATTTTCAAGCCTTGAATTAACAATTAATTTGTCATTATTTATTTTACTCGTTTTCTTTATATATTCCTAATCGTTTCAATTAAATATTCCGAATTTGTTTTGTTTCTTTCCCATAAATTTATTATTATTTAAATGTTTATTTTTAAAATATACACATATGCACATAATTATTCGTATTTGTATAAGTAATAAAAATAAATTTTATTTTAATTCAATCAAAAACTGATTATAATTTAAAATCAAAATTTCATTGATTTCGAAAGCAATAACATTCAAAAAATATAAAAAATGTAAAATATATATACGAATTCAAATTGAATGGAAAATATAAATATCAAATATAAATTAATTTAATAATATATTTAATGATTTTTTAATGTTGCTGTTGTTATCGAAATAACAATGATAATGATAATTTCAAATGATTATTGTTATATAAAAATGATTTCATCTATCAACTATAAGAAAAATTCGTAAGATCTCTTAATCCCAGTTTGGCGTAGTACTTAATTAGCATCACAAAAAAAAATTAAAAAAAGTCATTTTAAGTTTCACGTCCGTCGTCGGTTTATCCATCCGCCCTTTCGTCCGTCTGTCCGTGTATCCGCGGAAATTTTGTACACAAATAGATCTCTAATAAAACGTAATTTCTGTGGAAGAAAATGTTTACCTATCTTCTCTCTCTAAAAGTTATAGTCTTTCAAAAATTCTAAAAATGCCGTTGAAAATAAATGTTACGTACCTCTCTTTCTCTTTTCTTTTTTCAAATTTTTTATATCGTTTCTCTTTTATACGGTTCTTAAGTTTATCTTTCTCGCTATCATGTAGACATACTTCTATAAAGAATAATTAATTAGGGAAAATTATGACCGAAAATGAACAGCAAAACACATATTTAATTTCTGCTGCACTATTTTGAGAAAATTCAATTATAAAAGGCGAGTAAAATCGAGCATGCCATGCAATATTTTTATTTCTTTTATAAATATAAAATAAGGTATTAAAATAAATGATCATTAAAAGTTAAAAAAAAAATATTTCTGTTGTTCAATTCACGTTTTTTTTTATTGACTTCATTTATAGATAATCACTTAAACGTTTCTTTGTTTTTTGTTTTATTTTTACTGTCAAAATTATTCAAATACCCGAATATGTTCATATTGAAAATTACTTTGAAAGATTAAGAGGGCATAAAAAATAAAGTGAAATTCCACTTTAAAGTTTCTACACACTGGCCATTTTATAGACAAAAGATAAAATTTAAAAAAAGGAAATTAAATAAAAAAGTAAGTAATAAAAATATCAAATTAAAATTCACCTTAAATAAAAATGTTTTTATTCTTGTTGTTTTATATTAATTGAGTATAATATTTATGGTGCTCCCATATTATATGGGTATAATTACACTCAAACATATACAACGAATGTAGATTGAATTATGCATTTAAAGATTAAATTACAGCTATTTTTGATTATAAAACAATCATCAAAGAGATGACAATTAAAATAAAAATAAAAAAATAAAACTATTATAAAATTCAAGCGTAAATTTTAAAAGGAAATCATAAAAATCAAATAAAATTTCAAAATATGAATAGAAATTTGAAAAAGAAATAAAAAACAAACAAAAAAGAAAAATTATTGTACACATCGGCCATATTATTGTCATCGAAAAATGTTATTTACGTACACACAGGTACAAATACCAATATGTAAGTCAACACATTTTAATAATGACGCTATAAAATTTTTGACACAGTACTCATTTTGACTAATTTATTTGACATGAAAAACAAAAATCTCAACAAACACAAAACAGTATATTTAATAAAATTTCTATAAAAAAAAAAAAAAAAAACAAAATTTTCATATGTATTTCACTTACAAATGTTTGTTTTCTACTTGCGCCATCATTTTATCACCTTTCAATAAATTTAAACAAAAAATATTATAACGCACACCCAACAAACAACTGCTGAAAAAGCAATAAAAATTATGTCAAAATATTTATGAGAAATAAAAAAAATAGTGTTATTTTTGCTTGTGCTCGTTATATTATTTCATTTTGTACTCTTAAGTCATGGCTGTAATTTTAAATACAAAATGTCAAACCACCCATTATAAGTTCTTAAAAAAAGAAAAATTTCATTTTGTAAAATATATTTTTTTATTTTTTTTTTTTCGTAATGCTTTAATCATACATAATAAATATCGTACTGCCATCCATTTTGATGGTACGAGTACTACTTTGATGACAAGTCATGAATTTTCAATAAAAATTCTTATCTTTTGTTTATTTTATGAGACGCGATATGAAACGAAAATTGGACAACACGATTTGAATACGCAAAAAAGAATTTTGTTAAAAAGAAAAAAAATCAAAGTAATAAACAAAATTTTGATGAATTTAAAAAAAAAATTAAATTTGAATAAAATAAAAAATCACTTTTTTATAGTCTAAGAAATAGAGTAAATTTTTTAAATGATCTCAGATGTTGAGATAGTGCCCCATTTCATAAAGTAACGGAAGTTTTTATTAACAGAATTCCGTTTTTAGGAAAGTTCAAACTCATTAAGTACAAATAACGATCAATCACCTTCGATACATTTGTTTTATGCCGGCGACAAAAGAAATATTAATCTTTAAACACAAACTTAAACACTCTTACTTAATTTAATATTTAATCAAAATTTAATAGAACTGTTCAGCAAAAAAATAAAATCATTTCCGGTTATGGTTACACAGTTTTGACATTTTGTATTGAGTTGTAAATATTTGCCTATAAAACTAAACAGCGTTACTGCAAGAAAAATAATAAATAATTGTTACTCACAAAACAAAAAACGGTAACATAATTGTATTAAAAACATAAATTTAAATTGATAGCTAATTTTTAAAATTTATGTAAGTATAAATTCTACATCACCTCCAGCAATATCATTATAAAATCAGCTATTCACTATAACTTGAGCAAATCGTAAAAAAAAAAAAACAAAATAAGATAACCTGAGTTACACGCGTTGAATTTATCGCTACCATATTTCGCTAACTACTGTTTAAGTGCATGTAAAGTTTTATTCTATATGTTTGCTTTTTATATTTTTTACGTGCGCGTAAACTATAAATGTGATTAAAATACCTTACACTATACAAATTGAATATGAGTACGTGTATTTTTTTTATCTGATATTTTAGTTGTAATAAATAATTGGTTTTGAATGATTCTTTTTTTTTAATTCGCTTTTTTTTTAATGCCTGCCTATGTTATGTTGAATCTATATGACCTATAACGTCTTAAATCTTTTGTTTAAAAGAAATATTTGTATAATAACCATTTTTCTATTTTAATTAAATTTATTGTAGTGTATAACAAATTTGACATGAAGTTTATAATTGATTCTATATAAAATATTGAATACTTAATTCATCAAAAATATGTAAAAAGAAATTTTAAAAATGTCACTAATTTTTATAGTGTTAATATAAAATTTCAATTAAATACAATTATAAATTAACTTTTAAATTATATAATTGAAAATATATTAAATATCCATTAAATATAATTAAAATTACCTGTAATTTTAATATTTTTTTCAAATTTTAAAATCTTTAACTTTATACAATAAAACAACTGAAATATTAGAGCTTAATTTAATAATTTAGCCAAATTACTACATTAATTTCAAATACTCAGACAACACTAATTTCAAATAACATGAAATATTTACTTTAAACAAATGAGAACTTTAGCAATTTAGCAAACTGTAGTATTACATAATATAAATATGCAGTAAAAAACTACAAAATTTGTAACGTATACTTCTCATTGAAGTTCTTACCGTTTTTAAAATATCTAAAGTCGTCGGACTTTAGTAACGGAAATTTTCTAAACGCGATAAATGGATCCTGCATCAATTACATGTGACGTATATACATACGTATTACCATATTATTTTACGTATATACACATTAAAATTTAAATTATTTCATTATTGCCTGCGTACTTGTGATAAATCAGACCTACAAATAAATAACCATATTAATGACAGACACATGTATAAATAAAATTTAAGAATAGCTTAATATTTTACTGTAAAATCCTCATAAAGTGTGTAATATGTTTACATTTAAATATTTATATACTTATGAAGATAAATAAAAAAAAAATTGATGTGCTTAAGGAATTCCAAATGAAGTCATTTTTACCACCCAAAAATTTATTAGAAAAAAAAATAATTGACATAAAATGCTTTTTTAAAATCTTATTTTTAATTTTTATTTAACGACAGCTGTCATTTTATGTTTTGTCATTGTTATTGAATGAATGATTTGTGTAATACTTATGGCATGTCAAAAGGGGTTAATGAATGAATAAATGAATGGAATTTTAATATTTAACATGAAAACAGAAAAGTATGGAAATATAAAATTTTAATTAATTATTTTTATTTGCAACTTTTCTATATTTAAGAAAAAAATAATTGAAGAAAAATGAATTTTTAAAAAAAATTTTTTTTTTTTTGCAATATTCAAATTATTTTACATTATTATTTTACAGGAAATGTCAAACTAATCGATTCGGTGTGAAATGAAAATAAAAGTTTTTTTTTGATCTTCTGAATAATAAATTTTTTACTATAAAAATGCACATTGTGTCGTACGAGCGAATTTTTTTGCATGTCGGAAGAATCCGAAAAAATTACATGTGTTGTTTCCGAATTTTTTTACACTTTTTAATTTATTTATGAAACTTTGACGGTGCTTACACTACTTTCAATACCTGAAAACACTACGTTATATTTCGATTTCATGAATGATTTACACAGATTTAATTCTAAGTTTCATTCTCCTTATTTCTTTGCAGTTCCTTTTTATATGGAGTTAGTTATGCGAATCCTGTCAGATCCTGGGTAATTATAACAATAAATTTTAAGTTTTTATTTTTAAAATAACAATTTTACCTTACGTAATAATTTGATAAGAAATTTTAATAGGAGACAACAACTACATCCGGTTCTATCAATTACCCAAGGGCATATCATCTATTTTATAAATGACGATTTTACGCTAAAACACTTAATATAATTAGGTCATTTGGGTAAACAAAACAATATCAAAATGCTTCTACGAGTATCTTAAACATCAAAAAATTAGGTCTCTTTTTTAACTTTATCTCTACCGGAATGAATTTTAAGTAGTTTTAATACTTTATATTCAATTTTTTACATTATCTTATTATGTAATGTTCTATTGTATTTGAATTATCTTGCTTATTCTTCCTGTAAAATTTTCAAAATCATCATATTATATCTGAACCAAATAATCAAAAAAACATCAGAGTTTAGCTCTTTATTTTTTAAGTGTAAATTTAAAAGAAACAAAAAATATAAAAGAAATTTTCGCTTTATGAAACTCTCAATAACTTAATGATGATAGGGCGTTTAATCCTTTCCTTTTGAATTTCTATTATTATGTATGTATAATGTTAATGTAGACATGTGTAATAATAACCTGAGAAAAAAAGGAAGTTCTTATCTTAATATCCTTATTATATTTTAAGAACGAAATTGACAGGGATTTTAGATGTTGTATACAGCTAAAGTTTTATTGAACAAAAGAAGGAAAAAACAAATTTTATCATCAACATTGATTTTTTTTTTTTTTTGTTTTTTCAGAACTTCCTACCTCTTAACTAATTCTATTTTCTTATGTTCTCCTTTTTTTTACAGATTTATACTTTTAGAGAAATCACTACACTATTGTACTATTTCTAATGGGAAGTAAAGAACACAACAACTTAAGATGGAACACAAAAAAATGACTACATCATCAGGACATCATGAGAATCTTTAATGAAAGCTGAATAGAACACAACACTACAGAGAACAAGAAACTAGTTTAAAATGGTTGTTGAATGTAGTACTTAGTACTTTTGTGTTCCAAAGAAGAACTATAGAAAAACATTTTTCCCTCCCATTTACTTTAATTATGTATGAAATGATTTTACTTGTAAAAGATCAACTGGATTTAAATATGTTAAAAACATCGTGGAAATCAAAATGTGAAGGATAGTCAAAAATTTTATTCTCATAAAATATTATTATAATTTTGAAAAATTCAGTGTGATGGTTCAAAGCATAAGGTAAAAAATCTAATATTAGCCAATATTTATTTTCAGTCAACAAACAAAATAAGAATACAAGGAAAAAGTAATACATCTTGCTACAGTAAATTGTTCAGATCAGTTTTGATTACTTAAATGCGCTCACCAGAAAAGAAATAGTTACTTGGAAATAAATATGATGGATGCTAGCCTCCTCCTGTACCTTATTATTGCCTATATTTCTTGGAAAATTAATTTTTATGTATATATGTAGCAGGATAAGTGTCTGTTGGATGGTGCTTTGACATTTTGCCTCAATCGCCCATGGCAAATTTGAGAGTGCGATATCTGATTTTCAACAAAAAACCCAAGGATTTTAGAGAAATGCTGCAAAAGTGTGTGGTTAATTATAAATTCCAGTAAGAGCACCTTGGTTGCCTTCACAAGACGTAGGAACAGGGAGCGATTACCGAATGCCATTCTATTTGATGAGCGAACTGTGTACTGGAGGGAGGTTAAGTATTTGAAAGTAAGTATTCGATACTTTTAATTTATAATACCCTATTGTATATAATGAGAAAATGTTCAGCTTTCGATTAAAATTCAGTAGAAAAAATGAAAAACATTTAAAAGAGAATATACTTTAATTAAAAATATACTTTAATCGCAATTATAAGGAAATCAGAAAACACATAAATTATTATTAGTTAGGCTTTTTATTAAATTTCGATAGCAGTAATTAAGTGAACTTGTCACGTGGCTTCTACCATTAAGACAAACTGGGTTTCTTATGAAAAATCCAAAGAAAAATGTATTGCAATAGATATAGTTAGATATAGGTAGATATAGATTATAGTAGATTACAATAGATATAGTTAGATATAGGTGTTGAACATTTGATACATTTTTTTCGAATAATTAATTTTTCTTCTTTGCTTTTTTAGTTGTCTGTCTCGGGGAGATTAAAAGATTTAACATACAAATCTCTTTGAAGTCGACAATCGGACAACTATTGTGGCTTTATCAAACAATATTGAATATGTACTTGGTGATATTTCGGTCGAAATGTACGAATAAGTGGTTCACATTTGGATTTTGCTTGCAATATAGTCGTGACGTGGTCAACATTTTGAGTAACAGTACATATCAAAGAAATATTTGATTTATCGATTTGAATAAAAATTACATACAAGTTTACCATTTTTCTTGGCATGGTTATTCAGCCTTTGGCTTTTAAATTTATACATATTCATGCACATGTGTATATGTATTAGTTTCTTCAAACTTCCAGACCCCTCTCCTTTAATTTTAACTTCTTCTCAATTTTATTAAGGTTTCTTTTTTCGTTCTTATCCCCTTTTTTTTTTGTTTTTGTACATTATTGGCAACAATGTCATGATGGTAAAAAGGAACACAACCTATAATATTTGCAAAAACAAAATTGATTTGAGCATATGATAACATTAAATTCTGATACTATGTGCTTTGGGTAATAGTGGGCGGAAAATCATTAAATTTTTTTAACAAAATAAAATTCGATGAAGGAAAATGAAAGTTTAAAAAAAATATTATGTATATGAATTGTAAAACCTTGTCGGTTTCGTGTTATTACAGTTATTATTATTATCAGGACCAAAATATAAGCATAAGTATACAAGAAACATTGCATGATATCATATTTAACACGACATTATATTGAAAAACATGTTAACTTCCTGTTTCCCTTTTCAAAGTAAATAAATTTTTTTATATACGTACATGCATATAAGCATATATGTGGGAATCAATAAACTATGTGTGTTGCAAAATATTGTTATCACTTTTGTTGCTTTATAATTAGCTCGAAAGTATATCTATTTGTAGCACATGCAAAACGTTTGAATTAAACACCAAAAAAAATCAAAATTACATGAAAAGGTGTTATTAATATACCACAGCGATTTGGTTTCTAGCATATCAATAAAAAAATTATATGTTATTTTATAACATAATGTATAATTAACCAGAAAATCATATAATTTTAAATTTTACCACACTTATACACAATAAGGACACATTAACAAAATTTGTATTTTTAACGTTATTTTAGTATTTTTAACGTTAATTTTATTTTTAACGTTATTGTAGGAATGGTATATTAAAAAAGCTATTGGGAACTAGAAACTTCATTCGTAAAATTAAAATGCAGGTATAATACAATTATAACTCCATGAAATTGAACATTTGGTGCCATTTGTTATTTTTTCTAGTTCATATAACACCGAAATCCAATATCCTGAATTCTTCATTGACATTGTTCCAGAAAAAACCTTCCTTCTACTCTTTTCCAATTTTTGCAAAGATTCAAAAATTATTGTGAGAGTTGACAAAGACAAATGATGTTGATCTGCTCGAAGACATGAAACTTGTTTCAAGAAATCAACTTTGATATTTACTTAAAATCTTGGGGTAATTACAACTGCGATCAGTCTAAAAGTAGAAAAAAAGTCACTTTATTATTATTATTATAATTTTTTTATTGTTAATTTATTGAAATTGTATTTTTAATTATAATTAATACATATTACATTAAAAAACGTGTTGCATAATATTATAATAATGTTTTATTAATGCAATACAGATAATACACAGTGTAATACTGCGTATATTCTATAAAGCAATCTATAGTGTGTTATTTGAAACATGTAGCTTGGCTTTAATCGTTACTAAAACGTTTTAAATTGTATACATAAATTAAAAATGTTGCAAAGTTAAAAAACGAGAATAGGAAAAGTTGGCTGTGTTAACTCTGTGATACTAGTACGAATGAATGATGTTAACTGTGATATACTTTAAACAAATCGTAATATGATACACTTTTAAAGGATTATGGCGGATACCATAAGACATAATGAAATCTCAATGATTCTATCAAAAGCCATTTGTGAAAGTTGCGTAAATTTAACTGATTTATCATTTTTTGAGTAATCGCTGAGTGCCCATGAATTGATGAACGGACACGGCAAAATCGACTCAAAATTCGATTTTATTGCTGAGGTAGAATATATGTATATCCGCACACTTTAGACATGCCCGTACCATCTTAGCGTTACAAACGAAAAACTTTATTTATAATACCCTGCGAGCCTAAATTCGTGCTAGTACAGAAATTATATTTCAAAGATTAATGAGATTAAAAATTACTACTTTTAGTAAAAAGTTTAAACTTTGGATCAAACATACGGAATAAACAATAACCTTTAGCTTACAGTAAATCTCTTTAAAATATTATGATTTAATAAAAAAAAATTTTTAACCTATAAATTTTATTTATTTTTGTGCTTGCTTTTACTTTTTATAGACCTAGTAATTTTATTAACTAAATTCTTTACATACATTATAATGGTAATTTACTAGAACTATTAAAGCATTCCCCTCCTTTTCTCATTTGGTTCTTATATAAAATAATTATACTCATTAAAAATTCTCGTCCAAACAAAGAACATTCTTACATTGGGATTTGTGTGTTTGTAAAGTACACCTAGTTCTGTTTTTATTTCAATATTTTTCTAACAAAAATTCAGCTAGGGTTGTGTACAAGCTTTCGCTTAGTACTTTGTAATAGTTTATTTATTGTAGTATTCATGTTGTAGGATCGTTCGTATTGTAATTTTTAGAATTAATTTTTTAGTTTAACGTAAATTGTGGTACATACCCAAATCAAAAATTGCTATATTCCAAATTGAAATTTTCAAATAACAACTCCTAATTATAGATGATTTCTGTGATCTACGACTTCTTCCTGTAAAATATTCAATAAAAGTGAAATAAATAGATTGTATGTTCGTATCCGTATTTTTCTTGCTGCTACAACTCTTTCCAAGTAACAAATTTGTAAGCAGTTCGAGAAACTTGCGAGAATAGTCAAATTTAATATGAATTTTGCGAATATCAATTAATCATATAGCTGTACAATAACCTTAAACAAACGCTTAAATAATAAGAAGTAATATGTATATAATAAATAGGTACTAGGTGTACCAATTTTCAAAACCTGACATATTAAATATTAAAAAACATGTGCTTTTTTTATGCAAGTGTTATCTTCGCTATTATAACAATGCAAAGTAAAAAAAACTTTGATTTCGAACAATCAGAATATTTTTGCAATTTTAAATTTAGTTGACATACACTCGTTCATAGTTAAAGACATTTTGTCATAAATTTTTATTCTTACATTTATCACTAATATTTTTATAATGTGGGATACATTTTTTTATATACTTGGCATTTGTACATTTGTGCATTACTTATATAGCCAATTATGGTCGCCGATTTTAATTTGTCTTTCACATCTTAAAGATCTGCTATTGCCAATGCTCAAAAAATCTTTGACAGAAAAGTATGGGAATTGGGCGGGTAAGTTTTTAACTTTCTTATTTTATTTTAGAGTTTGTAATTAATTCTCAAAAAAAAAAATTTATAAAGATTTTCAAATGCGTAAAAAAAACTTTCAATAAAATCCAAAGCACTTAAAATGTCAAAATTCTGAAGTAATAAGGCATAAACAAACAATTATCAAAAATAAAATAATTAATTTGCTTATTACAATGCTTACATGTAAAAACAACTGGAGAAAAAGTAAAAACTGTAAACAAAAAGCATAAAATGCAATTTAACATAAGTTGAGCTTTGCGAATTCAATACAATAAATGACAACATCATGCATGACAATAAGAGAATAGCACGCGACACATTTTTAACATCTTTTCTAAAAAGGTTATCATTTTATTGAACTTTCACAAAATACACATATTGAGAAAAAGTTCAATATTTTAGTTAAACTATTGAAAAACTAAATATTGTAGAAATTGTAAATAATAATATTTAATTTTTTTTTGCAGTTGTCACTGGATCTACTGATGGAATGGGCAAATCTTATGCTAAACATTTGGCTTTAAAAGGATTTAATATAGTATTGATATCCAGAAGTGAAGAAAAGCTGAAAGCAGTCAAAAAAGAAATAGGTATTCTTTATTTATTCAACTTGATTTATATTTTTAAAGTATAAGCAGTTGTAGCATACCCCATGCTAAAAATAATTTTTATTGAAATTTAAGCATATGAACTGAGTTATTATTCAAAAATTTTATTGATTTTAAGTTAAATTTTAGTGATAAAAAAGTAATAATGTAGTAGTGACCGATAAACCTGTCATGATTTTGACTAAGACTTCTCGAAACTTACTAAACATGTACCCCGATTTACACAGAGGAGCGTAAACAAAGGGAATGTAATCATAAGGAAGTGTGGAGTAGTCAAAGTTCGGTGGTTGTTATTTTGGAGTACCTATTAGGTATGGAATAAACATTTCTGCTTACATGCGTTCTTCCCCAAATTCATGTTTGTTTAGGAAAAAAAATTGTACTATCTTTGCATAACTGAGCCATTCTCAACCAGTTCAGAAATATATATAACTTTTACTTACACGTGTGTTGTTTTATCATACCATCAAGCTTTCAAGTTCTGTGTTACATCTTAGAAGTCTATTTAAGATCAAATCAATTAAAATAAATTTAATAAATTATAATTCGATTATATAAAATTGCTGTATTAGTTAAAAACATGTACGAAAGTATCTAATTCTCGTTTTTTTTATATTTAAACTGGTTTTTATGTGCACACATACACGAACATTTTGTGTATTGCAATGCACAAAAGAATGTTGACGTAAGGGGAAGTTAACAAGTTTTTCTATTCATAATGTTATTTTATTTTATGTACATGTATATTTTATACCGCATGCATTGCAATACAAATGCACATAAATGTTATTAATTAAAAAATTGATTATAAATTATGAGTATAAGGGTCGGCTGCAGGAATATGTGCAATAGTTTCGTGCAAAAGACAATAAATCAACCAATTTAAGAATGTTCGAAAGTAAAGTTTCGGTATTGAATTATTTTTATTTTAGAAATAAACATATAATCTGCTTTGAATAGTTTCGTGAACAAAATTAGTAAACTTTTTTTTAAAACTACAGCAGTTGCATTAAACTAGCACGGTCTCTGTACATATTACTAAAACAAGTTTTGCTTTAAATTCAATTAAAAAAAAAAATCAACAATTATTTTATTTACGAAGAAAACAAGGTCATCCACCTTGACCAACAAAGTAATAGTGTCTAAAATTCATACTTTGCGTGCTTTTATATACATATGTATATTTATGTATGCACATATAAGCCTATAACATATAGGGTGCTTTTCATTATTTATATTGAACTTCATGATTTTTTAAAAGTGCGATTATAATGTTATTCGTTTTTCATTATGAAGAAGAACGATCATGGGGCAACTGAAAAATATACGGAACATAGTAGTGTTTAATAGTAAGAAAATAATTTTTAAACCACTATGCAAAACATTTAATTTTTGTTTTCAGAAAGTGAAGCTGGAGTAGAAGTAAGGTATATAGTTGCTGATTTTACTCAAAATTTTGAAATTTATGATAAAATAGCAAAACAACTTGAAGATATACCAGTTGGAATTTTAGGTATAACAGTTTTTAAAACCTTCACAATATATGTCCAGAATTTTAAAATAAAAAATTTCAAATAAATTCATAAACTAATTTTCAACTTCGAATATTTTTAGCAAATAATGTTGGATTGTCTCGAAGTACACCCGGTTCATTTGATGAACATTCAGAAAAATTGATATGGGACATGATTCTAGTTAATGTGACGGCAACAATGCTTATGACAAAAATTGTATTACCTGGAATGAAACAGCGTGGGAAAGGTGCTATAGTTAATATCAGTTCATTGTCCGTTTTTGCACCTCTTATACATAATGCAGGAGTTTATGCTGCGTGCAAGGTACCGTAAATTAAAATTTTTTTTTCTTTTCTTAACATGATTAATAAAAATATTTCAATTTTCAAGAAATGTGTATCATCTGTGACGAAAGTATTACAATGGGAATTAATGGAGTATAAAAATATTGATGTTCAATTAATTGAACCCTCTTTTGTTGACACAAATATGGTTAGTTTTTCACAAGATATCAAAAATCATTCATTAACATGTAGTTCTGATGAATGGGCTAAGAGTGTCATTGATTTATTAGGCAGAACTAATACAACAAAAGGACATTTTAAACATGCTCTAACGTCGTTCATTTTCTCTCCTATGCCTGAAACTCTTCGAATGTTATTAATTTATTGGCATGCCCAGTCATTTGACTATAAAAAATCTTAGAAAAGTAATTTTTATGTAAAAGATAATTTTTTTTTGTTAAACAAAGTGCGAAATATAAATGATATATTGTTGGTAAGGATATTGCGGAAGTTTGTTTTTAAAATTAAGAGATCGACTTTTGGGAATTTAAATTTTTGAGAACAAGATTTTCTAGCTATTTTGATTGTATTCGAACGTTTTTATAATAATAAAAGTGAAAGCAGACCAAAAAGAAAGGAATTTGAGTACATTTTAGACGTAATGTAGGTAACGTACATTTTCTTGTTCGAACCTGTAATACCAATCTTTTAACTTCTCATCTGCGCACGTGTTGTGAATACGAAATTTAAATATAATTTGAATATTCTTATTTCATTGTTAAGTTTTTTGATGCGTGTAACATTACCCACTTCAAAGAGTATTTAATAAATTGTTTAAATTGTATAAGAAATATTAAATATTTACTCAGCTGTATTAGTTTCCACAATTACACGCATAACTTTAATTCATTAATATTTATTCTAAATTCTATACTCGTAATGAAAACAGTGCAAAATTAAATAAAACTTTAATTTCAAGGCATTCATTGAAAACATTTTTTAAAATTGAGCTCAGTTAAAAAAGATTCGTACAAAGTAAAGCACATTTTATTCAATATTTTTATTTTTAAATATTTCTAATAGAATATTAATGTGTGTTATTTTAAAAACAAAAAAAAAACAAGTAATTAGAAATTAGAAGTTCTAGCATAATGTGGAGTATATTTTTTTGCATACTTGGCATCTACACATTTGTAAGATATTTATACAGTCAACTAAGGTCGCCTATATTAATACTATTTTCATATTTGAGAGATTTGTTATTACCAATTGCAAAGAAATCTTTAACAGAAAAATATGGAAATTGGGCAGGTAAGTTAACATGCTTGTGATTTAAGGAAAAAAAAATAAATTATTAATAAAAAATACAAAATTCGCGTTAACATTGATTAAATATTGTTTTTTTTTTTTAGTTATTACTGGATCAACTGATGGAATGGGCAAATCTTATGCTAAACATTTGGCTTTAAAAGGATTTAATATAGTGCTCATATCGAGAAGTGAAGAAAAATTGAAAGCAGTTCAAAATGAAATTGGTAATAGTAATATTTTATGTTTAAAACAAAAGATTATTTTAGAAAATACAATTGTATACATTAGCTATTTATAAAGGTTAAGCTATTGCGAATGGATTGACAATTCTGGTTTTGCATATGAACATGCTCCTCAAAATTTCTTTTTTCCTGAATTTTCATCTATCAGGTAGTTTCTGACAAATTTTGGGATTGAATTCATAAAAAACTTCCGGAAATAATAATTAGGTATCTAGCGAAATTGGATTGTCGTTTTTTATGACTTTTTACAATGCATGAATAGAGAATACAACGGAAATCAAAGCATACTTCTTTTCAGTAAAATTATTTATATATTAGCTAAATTATTATCTTCGTCGGAAAATTGGGTAGTAGTTGCTCATAGAAATTCCGTTACAAGTTCCATTACAAGCTTTATGATAAGCTATAAAAATTCAATAAAAGTTAATACCATTTTATGAAATCTATTATCACCAATTACGAACTTGCATTGCTTTACTTGTGTAGTTTTGTTGAAACTGGTTTTTAATTGTACATTCTTTGATGGAATGCTAAGCATTATAGATGAAATTTTATACAAGTGGAAAATAATAAATTACTTTTTTGAGAAATGAATCAAAACATATTCTGCTTTGTATATTCTCTAAGAACTTGTTAGTGGAGCAAGATTTTAAGTTTTGTTCCAAATCTTCAGCTTTGGAGAAATTGATGTTGTTCATTTTACTTGATTTAAATTTTTGTTTTACAAATAAATGAAGCAAAATTAATGTTATAAATTTAAAATTAAAAACAAGGTTATGACTTTGACCTGTAGAATAAGTACTTTACTAAAACTTTAAGATTAATTTTTAGTATATGGAACTAGAAAAAAACTTATAAATTCGTTGCATTACAGAGTAAATGATATATCATCTCTTATTTTCAGAAAGTGAAGCTGGAGTAGAAGTAAGATATATAGTTGCCGATTTTACTCAAAATTTTGAAATTTATGATAAAATAGCAAAACAACTTGAAGATATACCAGTTGGAATTTTAGGTATAACAGTTTTTAAAACCTTCACAATATATGTTCAGAATTTTAAAATAAAAAACTTCAAATAAATTTATAAACTAATTTTGAACTTCGAATATTTTTAGCAAATAATGTTGGATTGTCTCGAAGTATACCCGGTTCATTTGATGAGCATTCAGAAAAATTGATATGGGATATGATTTTAGTTAATATAACCGCAACAATGCTAATGACAAAAATTGTATTACCTGGAATGAAACAGCGTGGAAAAGGTGCTATAGTTAATATCAGCTCTATATGTGTTTTAGTACCTCTTATACATAATGCAGGAGTTTATGCTGCATGCAAGGTATCTGAAATCAATTATTGAATTTAATGAACAATACGATTTAATGAAAATATTTTTTAGAAATGTGTATCATCTATGACGAAAATATTACAATGGGAATTAATGGATTATAAAAATATTGATGTTCAATTAATTGAACCTTGTTTTGTTGATACAAATATGATTAATTTTTCACAAGATATCAAAAATCATTCTGTTACATGCAGTTCTGATGAATGGGCTAAAAATGTTATTGCTTTACTGGGTAGAACTAATACAACAAATGGACATTTTAAACATGCTCTTGTGGCATTCATTATGTCATCGATACCTGAGACTCTTAGAACATTATTAATTTATAGGCATGCTCAGTCATTTGATTATAAAAAATCTTAGAATTATAATTTTTAATTTTTAGAAAATAAATTTCTGAAAAAATGTTTAGAATACATATTAAATTTGGTAAATAAAGGATGTGTTGTGAAGGGGTATTCTATTTAAAAAATGATTTGCTATAAGAAAAAATGATTTGAAATAGTGTTCTAGGTTTTTCAGTTAATACAAAGACGGTTAAAACGATTCTTATATATAAATATATTCCATATTTAAAAAAATTATAACTTTAAAAGAGATTCGACTGCCGAACTTCTCTGTCTAACACATATAAACCTTTTATATACTAATCAAATTAAGAAAAATATGGAATTTCTGTTGATGTTGAAAATCGGCGACTTCTCGAGAGGGAATTTCGTAACGGTTTCGTTCAGTAACAATGTTAATAAGTGAAAGTAGGTGCCAACTATTTTATTCAAATCTTAAAATATTATAAATAAAAATAATAATTATTTCGTTATCTGTTTTCGTTAATTACAGACATAAGTGTAACGTACAAGAATCTTATTCTAAAAATATATTTAAATATTGAAATAATTTTATTTTATAAAGAATATAATGAATTTTTGACATCAATACGTAGCACGCAATGTATTTTATATATCATAATACATATATACTGAAATATATGTAATTTAATAATTGAGTATCTTTCATAATGTACGAACATATGTATAAGCCTTCCTAAAATCATATACAACCAAATAATAATCAAATTTCCTTAGAGTCTTAGACAATCATTTTATTAAATTATTAACGCCTGATGAACCAATTAAAGTATTCCAATATTATAAATTCATTAATATTGTATCCTATTACCAATACAATACTGAATGTATACCACATAATAGGTAAGCACACAATAAATTCATTAATAATATATTATATCTACGTATATAGGTAAATTTACTTATAGTATAGTATAAAGAGGAAAAATTTATCTACTCATAATATGCAATTTATACGTAATTTAATATGTAAGTATATTACCAAGAAATATCATAGTAAATAAATAATAAATTTTTGCAAAAAAAGTTAATTTTACTGAAAATTCTCTTAACATATTTACATACATACATATGCTTGTACATGCTCTAACAATTTATTTGATCCTATTTACCATATAACGTAAAAGAAAAGAAACCAAATTAATATTACACACAAAATTCTATTAAGAAATCTCATATATCGAACGAAATCTCTACCGCCCAGTTATAAATGCCATTATCCTGAAAAATATTAAAATTACTATTAAATATACATTCATATATATGGCAAAAGAAGGATGGAAACAGTCTAATGAAACCCTATTTACATTTATGTATACATATATATTATACATATATATATATATATATATATATATATATATATATAATCTCCCCGAAAAAAGCAAAATGAAAATTATTTGTTACAAAAAAAAAATTAAATAATAAAAAACATAAAAATGAGAATATAAGAACAAGAAATGAAAAAGGATATCGTCCTTAAGCATTTCACAAAATATAGAGCATAAGAAATGTGTATGATCTTTGTATATTCACACACACATTATATGTTGTTGTAAGTCCAAAAATATGTTCAAAATAAGCGTATATACTGTGTATGTGAATAAAACATTCTGAAAACAAGCATATTTTACCTAGGTTAATAGGTACTATATGGTTAATTTATGTGTTTTTATATTTTGCGTTTTATATACACAAAATATATATAACATAGATATATTTATATATATATATATGCTTTGAAAATATTATAATATTTACATTCCATTTAAGGGTTAATACATCGTTGCGCACCGCGGCTATCTACGATCGAAGAAATAACATAGGCGACGTCTCTCTGGCAAATGAAAATAGCAAGCTTCATACGCTTTGGTTGATAGCTACAGCAAGCTAATCACTTCGCTTAATTAACAGGACATCAATCGAAAGCGAGGCATGGACTCAAATGGAAAATGCGATTCAGAGGATTTGTTGATTCCTTATGCTTCCACCAGGAATGAACATAAGGGATCGGCCATTTCGTAAGTGAACCACTATATTACAAACAAATAGTAGTATAATTTGAAAAATTAACTATAAAATATATCGTAAATCACTCTATAAAGTGTTAAGCACTTTTAATCCGGTAAATGGCTCTTGTTTTTATATAAGATATAAACTAAAAATTCTCAATATTTAAGTTTAATATCATATATTATGGCTATATAAGATTTTTTTGCTCCATGACACGGTTTTGATCTAAAAAAGCATCACATTTCGAAATGTTTAGGTGTTCGGAACGTCATATACCACATAATGCAACCAAATCTTGTGTATAATTTTGTTGGACTTCTATACAGTAATACATAATATGTACCTACAAATTATCATATACTTATGTATGCATATGTGAGCACACCACAAAAATAAAATAAAAATTTGATACTCTTAATAAGTATACATATTTATATTATTATGAACATATTTTTGGACTTAACTACATAACTATGTATGCATATTCTTTTTTAGCTCTATGCTACTATAATAGTACTCGTATATATTATAACCTCAAACCTTTAAAGGATAATAATTTAACATTCTTTACCATCTTGGCCTTAAGTCCAATTGAAATTTATATTTTTTTTTATATGGCAAAATATTTATAAACGTAAATATGTTTGGGTGTATATTATATAAGCTTAATATTTATTTACCGTTTTTTTTTAATATAACATGGGTACCCACTTACATAGGTAGGTATTGTGTTGTATTCTTATACACAGGAAAAGAAGAGTAAAGAGAAAAAATGTATAGACAATAAAAGTAAAATAAAAATAAATTTAAGAGATTTTTAATTTAAGATTTTAGAGTATAATGTGCATTTTATTTTTGTTTTAACACACAAAAAAGAGCTTACTTGCTTTATTACTTAACTAGAGATTAGAAATATGAATTTGCGGAATTCATTAAAAATTTGATTTTTCATAAATTTATTTGGTTTGCCAGTTTCGCTTTTCAGAAATGCTAAAAAGAGTTTTATATTAAGATCAAATTTTATTTATTTTAAGAAAAGTTCCTCTGTGGACATGTATCTTATATATTCTTATATGTACTCTGCACTGAATCTATCATATATGTAAAGTAAGCATTTGTAGCACCAGAAAACAACGGCTCCATTAAAAAATTTAAAAAACGCTAAAGGAGGCGAGGCACTTTTTGGTAAAGCACCGTGTATGGTGCCGAACAAGTCAGAATCGGGTCTGTATAATTCGGATAGTTTAAGATACGAGTACTCTTCAAATATAATTTCATGCAGCAATATTTCTATGTGCTCACATACATACGTTTAAGACCTTTAAACTCACTATAGTTCTTATAATTATGTTTTTGTAAAGAATTAACTTTTCTAATTCTTATATAACAAATGTATTTAGAAAAATAAAAATTAAACAAGAGAACAAACATTATAATTTCTTTACCGTAAGAGTTTCTAAGGAAACTAAAAACATTTAGTATTTCTAAAATATCTTATACATTACAAGTGTATGATAAGGAAGGAAGTAAAGGAAATCCTTATAGTTCTTATCTTTTGGTTTTCTTATTTTCATATTTCTTCAATATTTTCTTATGCTTCTTTTCATTTTTCTTTTTTTTTGTACCTTTTTCCGAATCATATAAAACGAAGATAAAATATAGAGTCCTTTAACTATAAAGTTAATAACATACTGAAAGGATAATAAAATAGAATATTTGAAACCTTCTTAAAAATAGTTTTTGAATAGTTTTTACTTTTTACGTTTTTTTTAGTTTTCCTTCATGGTATTCAAATATATATAGAGAATAAACAGAAAAAACCAGACTGGTATCATTATTATATGAAATGTTATGTTTATACTCTTTTGCTCTTGCTACTGTTTGTAGTTAGTCTTGTGGAACTTTGTCCAATATCTTCATTAAGCTCCAAAAATATAAATATCTGAATGATTAGGTTTCGATTTGACCCATTCTATTTTCACACAAAAATATTATTTGTCACTAATGACGACCAAACTCATGTCATTAGTGTCAATCATAAATTTATTTAATTTTCGAAGGTTTTCAGCAATCCAATCTTATTTGTTGCGATTGCACTGTAAAAGTTCCCAAAATATTATTATTAAATGTTTACAAATAATTTAATTGTAATCTACATGTAAATAAAGTACCCGTGCCACTGCTTTCCACATTGTTTAGTCACGAAAGCAGGTTATGGAAAATGACGCAATATTGTTTCTGTTCATCATCATTTTCACCTGTCTATCGTTCGTCTAGGCACTTTTATAAATTCTTTATTAAAAATTGCTATAAAAAGGTTCAAAGCAAAACAGAGTTTTACAAATTAGCACATTTCTCCTTCACTACCAAATAAAGCAATTTTAGATTAGTTAGATTTAAACCTTTTTAAGTTTTAACCAATTCTTTAAGGTTATGAAATAGTTTATAGTTTCGAGATAAAAACTAAATTTAATACAGAATTTGAATGAGGGCTAAAGGGGTGAGATGAAAAATTATGCTACGTTAAAATAATATTTCATAGCTGAGATACTTTTAAAGTCTGTCCGCTAACGTTGAAAAATTTAGGTAGATACACGAAATTTCAACATTAAAAGAAGTTTTTCAAATGAAATATTTTTTTCAAATTTTCCGAATAAGTGTTAAAACATAATATACTTACATACATACAAAATTATTTACACAATTTTATTTTAAATTTAATATGACAAAGCTCATGTGTTTCAAGTGACATTATTCACAAACACAAACAGTTGCAGTGAATTTATAATAGTTTTTTGTTTTGACAATGAAAACAGAACTTTTCTAGCAGATATTTGTTATAACAGGCAGAAAAAGGGAAATATATTGTAAACCATTTCAAAAAATAAATGGAACGCATGCTTTGGTATAACGTCGACGGCTGCAATGGAGATCTTAAACTTGCCTCCAATGTATTCCGATATTACGGACTCGGTTGTGCAGAGCACCACTAGTCTTGGTGATCAGGAATGTGGTGGACTAGCAGAACATCCCGCCGTGAGGTAGACCAAATTTGGCCTACTCTGTTATGT